ATTTTATTCATGTTTTATTTTAATAGGTATATAAGCAAATACAAACAAACCATTCAGTCTGGCAGCTGTGTCCTTTCCTTGCCATGACTGAAGGCTTATCATATATCTAACTTTTCCTTCCTTCCTTCCTTCCTTCCTCCCTTTCTCCCTTCCTCTCTCCCTCCCTCCCTCCCATCAACTCTAAGGTAAAGGAGTGGAAAATATGCTCTCACTTGGCAAAACACAAAGGGAATGAAGGCCTTTTTAAGTTTGTCAGAGTTTCTCCTAATGAAAAATTATAGTAAAGAACATTTTCTGCTTGTCTAAATGGGACTATAACTGATTTCCTATGTAGGAAACATTTCTAGACAAATAGGTGATTTATAAGACTGTTGTTGGTCTTTTTATTTATATATTGTCTCTCCCTGCCTGGTATGGAACTGTGGGTTAGTGTTCTGAACTGTAATGTCGGTTTGAACCGTAAGGTCGGTGGTTCAAGATCACCAGCTGCTCCTTGGAAATCCTAAAAGGATCACTATGAGTGGAAACTGACTTGATGGCACTTAACAACAATTGTCAAGTTAGTTCCAACCCAAAATGACCCTATGTAAGGTTTCTAAGGAGCAGTTTGTGAGGTTGAACTGCTGACCTTGCAGGTTCAAACCAACTTTGCAATCCAGGGCATTTATCAGGTCTCCTAACAACAATTGTTATTATCATTGTTGTCAAGCGCCATCGAGTCAGATTCTGAACCATAGTGACCCTGTATAGGGTTTCCGAGGAGCCAGCTGGTGGGCTTGAGCCATAGGCTTCCCAGTTCAAGCGGACTTTGCATCTAGCGCATTCATTACAACAGCGCCACACCAGGACTCCTAACAACAGTTAGCCTAAAGGAATTGTGCTTTGTTTCCTGCCATTAAGACAACATTCCCTAGACTTGTCAGAAAAAGCGTGAGGGGAAGATCTGTGAAGAGGACTTTTGATATTAGACAGCAGCAGCACTAGCACTGGTTGGTGATGCTTTTCCAAATTTTTCCAATGCAGTGTCAACAGCGGTATTTCTCTGCCTGGCACAAGCTGATTCTTGATGGTAAGATTAAGCTGGGGAAAGCTGGGAGCCTGTCTGACTGGAAGTTTCAACTAAAGATCCTTCGAGCCTGGAGAGACTACACAAGATCTCAGAAGTTGGAGCGGGAAACTCAAGCCATGGAAAATGATCTTAGAGAAGAAAACAGGTACCATTATGGGCACAACAATAGAAATACTTCTAGTATGCTTATCCTAGTGCATCTTCCTAAAGAATCCATAAGTGAGTTTTAATATAGAGTTCCCTGGAATCATCTCATTTATCCTTAAAGGATGGAAATCACTTTTTCCCTATTAAATTTCAAACTAGAAAAATTTAACTAACATTTTTAAACAAAATTATTTGATTAGTATATACATGCTTTTTGTTTTTCCCCCTTGTCTTGTGGTAGCATTGCACCTTTAACCATCTTAGAACTTTTTTAAAAAAGGGGAGTGGGGTTGGCTTATATACCAATAATTGTTCATGAAAAAAATCACACTCTGTACATAAAATATTAATTGAGAACACAAGGAACACCATCTGGGACAGCAAACCTGCTAAGAGTAATTTGTTCCCACTCCCCCATCTTTAGAGAATTTTGTATCACCTTTATATCAACTTTTTTTTATTATGGTAAAAGATATGCAACAGATCATCTTCCATGTCAACATTTTTCACATGTACAATTCAATAACAATTAAATGTATCATGTTGTTCAGTCTTCACTATTACCAATTTCCTTATTTTCCATCACCCTTAACAGAAGCTCAGTGTCCCCTACATAATGAGTCCCTCTCCACCCCTCTCATCTACCCCTGTTGTTAAGTACCGTCGAGTCAGGTCCGACCCAAAGTGACCCTATATAGGGGTATCCAAGGAGCAGCTGATGAGCTTGAACTGCCAACCTCACAGTTCAAATGGCTTTGCAGTCTGGCGCATTAACCCACAACACCACACCAGGACTCCCATCTACCCCCTAGCAACCTCTGATAAATTTTGGTCTCTATATGACTATTCTAGTTTCATGTAAGTAGAATTTGTTACTGACTTACTTCGCTCAGCATAATCTTTTGGTCCATCCATGTTGCAGCCTACATTAGAACTTCTTTCTCTTTATAGGTTAATAATACTGCTTTGTATGTATATACTACATTTTATTTATCCATTCATCTATTGATGAACATTTAGGGATCCAGAAAGTCTACTCCTAGATATATACTGAAAGGAATTGAAAGCAGGAACACAGAAAGGTAGTGGTACACCAGTGTTTATTGCAGGGCTATTTATAATAGCCAGAATGATACATCAGCTTCTGCTTTGCTTGGGAATGATGCAGACTCTGCCTTCAAAGGAAACTCTTTGTTCCATCATCTTAAAATTAAATTCATTTTCATATTCTCCTTTTCGAGTTCAAATTTGCATTCTTTAATCAAACTCATAGATGTAAATGGGACCATTTATTTATATGGGAAGGGGGTTCATGTTCATATGGATAATCACTTCTCTACAGACAATTCTAAGGAACTCTGGTAGCATAGTTGTTATGAGTTGGGCTGCTAACCTCAAGGTCAGAAGTTCAAAACTATCAAGCTGTTCCACGGGAGAAAGATAAGGCTTTCTGCTCCCATAAAGATTTACAGCCTTGTAAACCCTATACAGTATCACTGTGAGTCAGAACCAACTCCACTGCAAATAACCATCACCACCACAGGCATTTCTGCCATTCATTCAGGATGAAAAGCTGAGTGATTAATTTGTGGAAGCACTGTTGAGGAGAATGAAATGGAATAACAGGAGTTATTCCACCTGTGGGCTCATCAGGTCCCCCAGGGAGGAAACACAAGAGACCAACATGTGGCTCTTTGTTTTCAAAGAACTCACAATTTTATGGGGAAAACAAGGTATTGAAAAAGTTTAGATGTTGAGTAGCCTTGTAAACTGAGCAATACACTGCTGCTAAGAACTCGGCATGGGGAAGGTGTTGGTGGCTGAGGAGGTTCCTACAGTGTCAGGAAAGGCTTTCTCATGAAGAAGTTAGGCCTTGAGCTGGGTTCTGCATGGTCAGTAGGATGTTCTTGATTGGAGATGGGAAGATCAAGGTGATGTCGTGAGGTTTTTTGTTTTTGTTTTCCAAACTACCAGAGTTAGAAAGTATTTCATTTATAAAATTATTTACCACAAAGCTTTAGAGTTAAAAAAAAAAATCTTAGAACAATAAGAAGCCACCTCAAGAACCAGACACACATCCAGCCTCTCAGTCAACAGATGATGTGAGTAAGGCCCAAAGGAAGTTAAGACCACAAACCAATGGCCATCCTGATTGGTTGAAGGTCTTCAAGCATGAAGCTGTCAAGTTCACTCACTTGTGAAAGACCTTGAATGCAAGCATAAGGAGTTTAAGCATTCTTTAGTAGTAAGAGAATTCTTGAAGGTTTTTAAGCAGTAGGGTGAATTTAGTTAATTTCTCTTTTTTTTAGCTTGATGGTGATAATGGTTGTATGTCAGTGAGTTAATCTGACTCATAGCAACCCTGTATATGGTTTCTGAAGCTGTAAATCTTTGCAGGAGCAGAAAGCCTCATCTTTCTCCTGTGGAGCGATTAGCACATTTTAACTACTGACTTTGGGGGTTAGCAACTCAGCTCTTAACCCACTGCTATACCAAGACCTCTTCTTTTTTGGGGTATTCTTGGGAAAAGTCTTTAGTGAAAAAGGACAACATAGAAAATGTGCCCATAATTTTAGTTCTAAATTCTCAGGGCCTTATGATTGGTACAAGGCATGGGGATGGTAGGTTATTAAAAAAGAAATCATTGTCAGGGTTTGCTGGATAAAGAACGGAAACTGATACCAAGAGTTATTGTAAAGGGAAACAACATAATAAAGGGAGCAAAAAGTAGGGTGTTAAAACACCTATGAAAATACATGCTAGGAGAAGTTTGTGGAAGAAGCATCTGAGAATTGAAGAACCATTCCAATTAAACTATTTATATATAAAAGCATTAAATGCAGGTTTCATAATAGCAAGATGTGCCAGTTTGGTTCTAAATCTTAGAACTTTTTGTCTCTCATATCTGTACATTTATTTCAAGCATCTATTTTTAAGTATTCCGAATGAATACTATTTAAAAAAAAAAAAAACAACCTAGAGTTAAACAATATGTAACATAATTTTTTTGCTACAAGCTTTATGTAAAAAACACTGTAGATGAGGAAGACACCTCAAGCCCCAGACAATCCATACTCTTGGTTTACAGATGATAAAAGTAAGGTCCAGAGAAGGGCAAGGTCACAAAGTCACGAGGTAAGAGTAACTACACAGGATTAAAGTACTTTCTCTTCGTTTCTGAGTCAGGTAGTTTTTGTCTATTCCACAGGCTATCTCTTAGGCAACACAGTGGCTCCATAGGATAAGCGGTGGACTGCTTATCCTATTTTCTAACTCTTGTAGTTAGAAAATTAGGTCAGCAATTCGATCCCACCAGCTGCTCTGTGGGAGAAAGATGAGACTTTCTGCTCCTGCAAAAGTATTTAGTCTTGGGAATCCTATACTGGGTGGCTATGAGTTGGAACCAACTCAACAGCACTTAACAACCACAACATGTATTACTCAGTTGTCAACTGTCTCCTCATCTTCAACCTGCACCATCCAACTTTAGTTTTGCCACCTGGGCAAAACCCTCACTAGCCTATCCCCTCTTCAGGGCCCAATTTCCTGGACTACTTTCTTTCTCCACTTCTTTTTCTGTTCTTCCCACTTTCTCTCAGAGGCAGCAACAAATCCCTTTCTTCCTCTTATTCATAATTTAGCAACTAACTTCTCTAACTTAACCGGAGCTCAGAGTCTCACCTCTAGTCCAAGGGGAACATCCAGGAATTTCTTCACAAATTTCATCTTTGTTTCCTTAGTAAAAATTCTACTCACTCTATCTTGTCTTCATTTTCCTGTTAAAGGTTGTTATGGTGAAAGTATGCTGGTGCTGTGGAGTAGGCACTGGGCTGGTAACTGAGTGACTGGTGGTTCAAACCCACCAGCAATTCTGAGGGAGAAAGATGAGGCTGTCTGCTCCCTGAAGGATTTACAATCTTAGACACCCTGTATAGGGTTACTATGAGTTGGAGATTTACTTAGTGGCAGTAGCTTTTTTATGGCGATGGTGTAACAAATTTGCAATACAATATTGAATGACAATATTAAAATACAGTTTTAACATTAGCCGATTTCCAAAGCCTAACTGAGGATTCACTTCTCTACAGGAGAAAGGATTACAGTCTTGGAAACCCTATCCAAGTCGGTTACTATGAGTCAGAACCGACTCGACGGCACACAACCAACAACCACCCACTAGCATGTTCACTTTAGAAAGTTAGCTCCAGATTTTCCATTACTCCTGTCTCCTTTTCTTTCTGAGTTTATGGCTACCCTTAACAAATTGTGAAGTAGCAGTGTTTGTTTGCAGCATCTTCCACAGTCCTTTTCTGAATCCTATTTTCCTGACTTCTCAGTTCTTTCCTGAGAATCACTTTGTCCTTCTTCCATGGCATTTTCTCCCTGCCCTTTCTTGAAACCACTGCTTTGGACCTTTCCTGGAACTTTTCCTTATCCTTCTCTTGGTACATACTTTGTGCTTCCCAGAATGCATGCTTACACTTTAACAGCATTGTCTGGAAGCAGAGCCCAAAATGTAAGTGATAAGGATTTTGAGTACTGTGATAGACCCATGGAAAAACTGAGCCTTTGACATCCCTTAAGTCATGGCATTCATTTATTCACTCAGTCTTGAATTTATTCATTCTGTTTGATGGAATATATTCACTCAGGCAGCCAGCTTTACTGATGTCCTGGTATGGTGCTGTAGGATAACCACTGGGCTGCTGACCGCAAGGTTGGCAGTTCAAACCTACCAACTGCTCCTTGGAAACCCTATGCAGGGTTACTATGAGTCATAACTGACTCGACAACATTTAACAGCAACAACTATATGAAAGTACTTCAAAAGTTCATGCAAAGAGAATTTAAAAATAGTGTAATTTTCCATGAACTTTTTGAAACTCCCTCATATACTAGACTCTCTCCTAAGTACCAAGTTGTTATTATTGTGTGTGTTGTCTAGTGACCCTATATAACAGAATAAAAGTGCCCCATAGGGTTTCCTAGGCTGTAATC